TTTTTTTTTTTTTCTCGTTAAAACATAGGCTGACAAAGTTTTTTATATTCAAAAATATTGACCATAGATTAAATTTTTCTAGAAGGTTTATCAAACCATGCCTAAGTCATAAGATCAGTTTTCTTCTTCAGTTTTCTTGTTTTGAAGTGATCATTTTGACATCTTTTAAGAATTCGATGCTGGATTCTTGAATCCAAAACCTATGTTGTGATTTCAAGTCACACGCTGTTTTCTACCATATCTTTTTAAACGTAGTTTAACCATATTTTTTTTTATAAATATTTATGGTAACCTTCAGGTTATCACCATTTCCGTGCCAATATATGTACTACTTTTCTTCAGGTTATATTTCATGCGTTTTTAAGTACTATACTATAAAAATTGTTGAAATAGGAAATTCTTATATCTTATATGATGCGAATATAAATTTTTATTTGCAATTTAAGTAGTATGATGCTGATGCTCTGATGCTGATGCTGATGCTGATACTCTGATGCTGATGCTGATGCTGATGCTGATGCTCTGATGCTCATGCTCATGCTCATGCTCATGCTGATGCTGATGCCAATGCTGATGCTCTGATGCTCATGCTGATGCTGATGCTGATGGTGATGCTGATGCTGATGCTCTGATGCTGATGCTAATGCTGAGGGTGAGGGATGCCAGTTGTGAAAGCTGGTGCTGGGTTAGCAAATAATTGCTTTTGTCCCGTCGTTGCCATCTCAAGCAACCCCTCTTGCACCCATCCTCGTCGTGACCTCTGAGTTGACTCACAATTTGCCTCCTATTTCCGCTCCCTCCCCCTCCGCACAGCCTGTTCTTCGACCCGCACCGCCACATGCTGTTTGACTATGTGGGCGGCACCCATGCTCTGTGACCTTTGGGTTGACTCACAAGTGACCTCAAGCGCGCCCGTCTCACCCCCTCCCCTCCATGCAGCCTGTTCTTCGACCCGCATCGCCACATGCTGTTTGACTATGTGGGCGGCACCCGGGACCTCTACAAACAGACCGTCAGTGCCCTTGCTTGCACGAGGAATGCATGTCATTCTGTTGGAGGCCTTGCCTTTGGAAGAAGCACGTGTGATTCTTCAGCCATGAGACGTGTCAAACCACGCCTGTGGAAGAAGCACGTGTGATTCTTCAGCCATGAGACGTGTCAAACCACGCCTGTGGAAGAAGCACGTGTGATTCTTCAGCCATGAGACGTGTCAAACCACGCCTGTGGAAGAAGCACGTGTGATTCTTCAGCCATGAGACGTGTCAAACCACGCCTGTGGAAGAAGCACGTGTGATTCTTCAGCCATGAGACGTGTCAAACCACGCCTGTGGAAGAAGCACGTGTGATTCTCTCTGCTTGGCACCTTCTCCGTTGCTCCGCCCACTTGCCTTGCCGCTCTGCTGTGCTCCTCTCCAGCTTGAGATGCACTTTCTCTTGCTCTGTTTCTGTATAGCCTTTCTCTGTGCTCGTCTGTCCGGCCACCATCAGGTGCGAGTCATTGGCGACACGCGAGCCAGCTTCCAGGAGGACCCTGGTGAGTTGCACTCAAGTCAAGTCAAGCCAAGTCAAGTCAAGCCAAGTCAAGGTCGGCCTAGTGGTCTCTCTTGTCTTATATTCCTGCTCTGCGTTGTTTTCCTGAAATCAGGGCAGAGTAAAGAACCTGCAGGACTTGAATGGTCTCCTGAACAACCTGCCTGTCCCCTCCCCTTCCCCCGCTTTTGACCACATCCACCAGCGCGGTCCTGAACACCCTCCTGAGCAGCCTCCTTCCCTCCCCCCCACCTCCCTGTCATTGCACTGCGCCCACCAGCGCGGTGTGTGAGGGCCATTCGCCTGGCAGCGCGCCTGGGCTTCCGTCTGAGCACAGGGGTGACTCGGGCTCTCAAGGCGCCCTCCACCCTGCCCGCTGTCGCCACTCTACCTCAGGTGCTGCCACGCTCAATCAGGTGCTGCCACGTGCTCTCTGCAATCGTTCTCGTGCATCACCTGGTTCGTCCATGTCTCTCCTCTTCTTGCTCACGTTTCCCGTTCTCTTGCAGCTTGATCCCGCTTGCCACTTTCATGATCACACGTCATGTCTCACCCTCTTCCTCCATTCCTCCTCCCTTCTCTCTGTCGTCTCCTCCTCTCCTGCTCATCACAGTCTCGTATGCAAATGGAGCTGGTGCAGATGATGTCTCACGGCGCATCTGAGCCATCCATTCGCTTGCTCTGGCAGTTCAACCTGCTCCCTCTGCTGCTGCCGTTACAGGTAAGTGCTGCACGCTACTGCCTGGTCTCCTGCCTGCACCAGATACTACCTCCATTGGAGTTAGTCCCTTCCCCCCTCCTGCTCCTCCCAACCCCGCTTCTCCCGTGCCTCTCCTTATCCCCTTTCTCCCCCCTCGCTTCCCACTCGCACCAGGCGCAGTACCTGCGGGGGAAGAAGTTTTCTCAGAAGGCATTGACAGACCGACCTGACCTCATGTTTGTGAGTCACTCACCAACCAGCTGCCCGTGTGCTTATGCAACTTGGCCTGACTTACAGTCAGCCATTTTACAGCTCTCACCCCTCTCGAGTATTGTCCTGCTATCTGGTGCCACCATCCCTTGCTGTCACCGATACCCTTCCATCCTTCCCTGACCCTCCGATCACCCTCGGGTGATCGGAGGTCAGGGAAGGATGGAAGGGTATCGGTGACAGCAAGGGATGGTGGCACCAGATAGCAGGACAATACTCGAGAGGGGTGAGAGCTGTAAAATGGCTGACTGTAAGTCAGGCCAAGTTGCATAAGCACACGGGCAGCTGGTTGGTGAGTGACTCACAAACATGAGGTCAGGTCGGTCTGTCAATGCCTTCTGAGAAAACTTCTTCCCGCAGGTACTGCGCCTGGTGCGAGTGGGAAGCGAGGGGGGAGAAAGGGGATAAGGAGAGGCACGGGAGAAGCGGGGTTGGGAGGAGCAGGAGGGGGAAGGGACTAACTCCAATGGAGGTAGTATCTGGTGCAGGCAGGAGACCAGGCAGTAGCGTGCAGCACTTACCTGTAACGGCAGCAGCAGAGGGAGCAGGTTGAACTGCCAGAGCAAGCGAATGGATGGCTCAGATGCGCCGTGAGACATCATCTGCACCAGCTCCATTTGCATACGAGACTGTGATGAGCAGGAGAGGAGGAGACGACAGAGAGAAGGGGAGGAGGAATGGAGGAAGAGGGTGAGACATGACGTGTGATCATGAAAGTGGCAAGCGGGATCAAGCTGCAAGAGAACGGGAAACGTGAGCAAGAAGAGGAGAGACATGGACGAACCAGGTGATGCACGAGAACGATTGCAGAGAGCACGTGGCAGCACCTGATTGAGCGTGGCAGCACCTGAGGTAGAGTGGCGACAGCGGGCAGGGTGGAGGGCGCCTTGAGAGCCCGAGTCACCCCTGTGCTCAGACGGAAGCCCAGGCGCGCTGCCAGGCGAATGGCCCTCACACACCGCGCTGGTGGGCGCAGTGCAATGACAGGGAGGTGGGGGGAGGGAAGGAGGCTGCTCAGGAGGGTGTTCAGGACCGCGCTGGTGGATGTGGTCAAAAGCGGGGGAAGGGGAGGGGACAGGCAGGTTGTTCAGGAGACCATTCAAGTCCTGCAGGTTCTTTACTCTGCCCTGATTTCAGGAAAACAACGCAGAGCAGGAATATAAGACAAGAGAGACCACTAGGCCGACCTTGACTTGGCTTGACTTGACTTGGCTTGACTTGACTTGAGTGCAACTCACCAGGGTCCTCCTGGAAGCTGGCTCGCGTGTCGCCAATGACTCGCACCTGATGGTGGCCGGACAGACGAGCACAGAGAAAGGCTATACAGAAACAGAGCAAGAGAAAGTGCATCTCAAGCTGGAGAGGAGCACAGCAGAGCGGCAAGGCAAGTGGGCGGAGCAACGGAGAAGGTGCCAAGCAGAGAGAATCACACGTGCTTCTTCCACAGGCGTGACACGTCTCATGTGACACTGTCTCATGACTGAAATCACACGTGCTTCTTCCACAGGCGTGGTTTGACACGGTCTCATGCTGCGTCTCATGCTGGCTTCTTGCTGTCTTCCGCAGGTGGCTGTTGACACGTCTCATGGCTGAAGAATCACACGTGCTTCTTCCACAGGCGTGGTTTGACACGTCTCATGGCTGAAGAATCACACGTGCTTCTTCCACAGGCGTGGTTTGACACGTCTCATGGCTGAAGAATCACACGTGCTTCTTCCAAAGGCAAGGCCTCCAACAGAATGACATGCATTCCTCGTGCAAGCAAGGGCACTGACGGTCTGTTTGTAGAGGTCCCGGGTGCCGCCCACATAGTCAAACAGCATGTGGCGATGCGGGTCGAAGAACAGGCTGCATGGAGCGGGAGGGGTGAGACGGGCGCGCTTGAGGTCACTTGTGAGTCAACCCAAAGGTCACAGAGCATGGGTGCGCGCCCACATAGTCAAACAGCATGTGGCGGTGCGGGTCGAAGAACAGGCTGTGCGGAGGGGAGGGAGCGGAATAGGAGGCAAATTGTGAGTCAACTCAGAGGTCACGACGAGGATGGGTGCAAGAGGGGTTGCTTGAGATGGCAACGACGGGACAAAAGCAATTATTTGCTAACCCAGCACCAGCTTTCACAACTGGCATCCCTCACCCTCAGCATTAGCATCAGCATCAGAGCATCAGCATCAGCATCACCATCAGCATCAGCATCAGCATGAGCATCAGAGCATCAGCATTGGCATCAGCATCAGCATGAGCATGAGCATGAGCATGAGCATCAGAGCATCAGCATCAGCATCAGCATCAGCATCAGAGTATCAGCATCAGCATCAGCATCAGAGCATCAGCATCATACTACTTAAATTGCAAATAAAAATTTATATTCGCATCATATAAGATATAAGAATTTCCTATTTCAACAATTTTTATAGTATAGTACTTAAAAACGCATGAATATAACCTGAAGAAAAGTAGTACATATATTGGCACGGAAATGGTGATAACCTGAAGGTTACCATAAATATTTATTAAAAAAAATATGGTTAAACTACGTTTAAAAAGATATGGTAGAAAACAGCGTGTGACTTGAAATCACAACATAGGTTTTGGATTCAAGAATCCAGCATCGAATTCTTAAAAGATGTCAAAATGATCACTTCAAACAAGAAAACTGAAGAAGAAAACTGATCTTATGACTTAGGCATGGTTTGATAAACCTTCTAGAAAATTTAATCTATGGTCAATATTTTTTGAATATAAAAA